CTGCAGGCCTGGGCTGCTATGACTGTCACTCTCCACTTCCTCCTGTTGCCCTTGTATGAGGACAAGGGGCTGTTCTTATTGCCACTGGACTGATTGGGTAAGTCAAACAGCCTGTTGAGCTATTGACAGTCTGGTTCCAACAATGTGTGTGGTTGTAAAAGGGCTTGCTTCATTTAGAACAGACAGAAGAATGTGTTGTGAATCTCCAGCCCCTTAACCCTGTCTCAGCCCTCCTGTAAACACAAACCTAATCTGATTACTTCGGGATTTCTGTACCCTCTGTACTTGGATTCTGATTTGCTGGCCGTAGTGGTGCCACTAGCTAAGGGCTTGTTTTGCTGTGACAAGGTCTTGTTGATTTGATCCATGCTTCCTGCTAATCACAGTGCATACTCACAAAACCCAAAGTCCTCTTCTAGGCAGGTACAGGCCCTGGCCTGAGTGGAATAAGCCTTTCTGCAACCATGAGGGTGTGAAGTCACTCCTCCAACTCCTTCACAGAGCTGTGGGGACAAGGCACAGTCACAGGTAACCAAGGTCACTGACATGCCAGCCTTGAAATGCACTGCCCTGCCTGTTCGTGCTCAGAGCTCTTCAGGACAGCCTCTGGCTGCTGTCCGTCCCAGGGAGAGACTATCCTGCCTGACAGCTGGTGTGATCTTCCACAAACATTCCCCAGCCCCTTTGATGGTCTACACATCCTTGGTTAGGCAATCCCTGCAGGCCCTTCCCAATCCGCCCTTAGGAAACAAGCCATCAGACCTGGACATGGTAGCACATGTCTGTATTCCCTGCACTTGGGAGACAGAGGCAGGAGGACCAGGTTGGGCTTTATGACACTCTGTCTCAAACAAAAACAACAATAAAACAAGAACAAACGATAAGTCAGCACTTCTACTCCTACATGTATCCACAAGAGAAACGAGTGCATGTGGCCACTGAAACACACATCCCCAGGGATGATCTGGCAGCTTTAGCCATAGTGACCCAGATCGGAAGCACACCAAAGGTCCATGAAAGTAAAAAGCACAAGGCCGGGCGTTTATGGCCCACACCTTTAATTCCAGCACTCTGAGGCAGAGGCAGCTGCATCATTGTGAGTTCCAGGCCAGGCTGGTCTACATAGCGAGTTCCAGGACAGGTTCCAAAGCAATACAGGGAAGCCCTGTCTCAAAAAACAAAACAAAACAATAAATAGAAAGCACAGGGGCCAGTGAGATGGTTCATCGGGTAACACCATTGCCAACAAACCTCAGGGGCTGTCCCTGGTGCCTGTATAGAGGAAGGAGAGAATTGACTTCCACAACTTGTCTTCTGACTTCACTTGTTCACCATGGCATGGGCACCCCCGGCCCCCCACACATACCCAAACATAAATAAATAAATGTAGTCACATCCTCATTTGGAGTGGTGAAGCTGTGGGTAGAGGCGTGAGGAGCCATTCTCCTGAGATAACCCATGCATCCCCCCAGGCAGCCTCTGCTTACCTCAACTCCTGGATCTTCATCTTTTTATGTGTGGGTGTCTACTTGCAAGGATGTCTGTGAACCAAAAGTATGCCTGCTATCCACAGAGGTCACAGCAAGGAGTTACATCCTCTGGTTAATGGTGGATGCTGGAAATCAAACCTGTGTCCTCTGGAAGAGCAGCCATTGCTCTTAACCCCTGAACCGTATATCCGGGATGTGGAGTTGGATCTGAATCAGACCCAGCCTGAAGTTCTGGCGGAATGTCCTTGGCAGATGTTGTGTTTGTTTTAATCTGCTTCCTGTGATCATCAGGACTAGATAACAGATACTCAGTCTTCCATCTACAGTCTAGACATGTTTTTTAATTTTACTTTATTTTGTGTGCATTGGTGTTTTGCCTACTTGTATGTCTGTGTAAGGGTGTCAGATCCCCTGGAACTAGAGTTACAGTGAGCTGCCTTATGGGTGCTGGGAATTGAACTTGGGTCCTCTGGAAGAGCAGCCAGTGTTCTTAGCTGCTGAGCCATCTCTCCATACCCCCCAGACATGTTTTTATATGAATGGACATGGCCCTTCCAAGCCTCCTGCAAAAACTCAATAATCAATGTGAAAGCATTGGTAAAGTGGGAATGACAGTGAGCTCCTCCCTTATAAATGAAATTAAAGAGGCTTCACACAGCCTACACAACTGTCAGAGCTAAATCTTTGTTCCTTGTGTTACCCAGCCTCAAGAACCCTGACACAGCAGCAAAAAGTGGACAAAGACACAGATAAATATGTTTTGAGAGTTTATGATATAATGTGTGGGTTTTTTGTTTGTTTGTTTGTTTGTTTTCCAGACAGGGTTTCTCTGTGTAACCCTGGCTGTCCCAATTCACTTGGTAGACCTGGTTGGCCCCAAACTCAAAGATGCACCTGCCTCTGCCCCCCAACTGCTGGGATTAAAGGAGTGTGCCACCACTGCCTGGCTAAAATGTGTTTCTGTAGAAAATGAATCTCTGTTAAGATGACCAATGCCATTAAATTGAGGGAAATGCATATGTTTCTCTTTTTTCTTTACACTAATATTAATTAATATTCTATCACATGATACAGCCTGAAAAGAGATTTAAAAAATTACAATGCAGAAATTGGATTTTTTAAAAAAAATCAGAATCAGGGCTGCATATGCAGCTCAGTTGGCAGGGTGCTTGCCTATCGTTCACAAAGCCCTGGGTTCAATCCCCAACACCTCATAAACCAGGCCTGGTGGCACATTCCTGTAATTCCAACACTCTGGGGGTAGAGGCAGGAGGATCAGAAGTTCAAGATCATGTTTGATTAGACAGTAAGTTTAAAGACTAGCCTGTGACACATAAGATCTTGTCTCAAAAACAACAACAACAAACTACAGAAACACCACCAGAGAGAGCTCTGTGCAAAGCTACAGGTACCACCCACAAGCCTCTTCTGGCACAAACACCTTGCTTATGACATCCTTTAGAACTTCTCTTGGGCCCTTCATACCACATGGATGGGAAAATTGCACCTAAATAAGAGAAAATGTGTACCCGGTCAGATCTGGAGGCAGGCTGGGGCAGACAGCCAAGCAGCAGGTTTTCAGGGTAGGCAGGACACAGATCAAACCCCTTGGGCAACTGAAGGTCCCAACCCTGCAGAGAAATAGGCTTATGCAGTAGATTTCCCAATGGCCCCGATGCACAAGGCCACAGAATGTGGGCACCTTGTTCCCAGTCCACAGACTCAGTGTGTCTATTGTTACAGTAAATAATGCCAAATGTATGGGATGTTAACCATCTGGCTGGGTTAGGCATAGCAAATCAGAGTCAGAAGACACCTTCCTCCTGGGCAGCATGGTGTTCATGTGCAATAATCCCACCATTCAAGCTGCAAGCAGAAGATTTGCAGCCTCAGAATAAAGTCTGGGCTATGTGTTGAGACTGTCTCAAAACATCACAAAACTAAACAACAAAAGTCTTACAGACATTCCTACTCATACTAGTGTGTGTTTGCACGTGTGTGTGTGTGCACGTGCGCACATGCAGAGAGGCCAGAGGAAAGTGCCAGGTGCCTTGCTCTATCATTCTCTGCCTTATTCCATTGACACAGCAATCTCTTAAGGAACCTGGAGCTGGGCTGGCGATCAGCAATTATCAATGGCTAACAAAACAAAACACTGTTCTGGGATTTGAACTCAGGCCTTTTTTTTTTTTAGACAGAGTTTCTCTGTATTGTTTTGGAGGTTGTCCTGGAACTTGCTCTGTAGACCAGGCTGACTTCGAACTCACAGAGATCTGCCTGCCTCTGCCTCCCAAGTGCTGGGATTAAAGGCATGTGCCACCAACGCCTGGCTGAACTCAGGTTCTTATTATTGCTTAGTAAGCACTTTTACCCACTGAAGCAGTTCTCCAGCCCCTACTCATTCCATGTTGAATCCTCTTTGATGACTGTTTTTTAGGTTTAGGTTTTTTAAGGTTTAATAATGGTCCATATCTTTATAAGCTACACAATGAAATACTTAAAAAAGAAATGCTCCAAAATACAGCAGAGGAGACGTGGGTGAGGTATGGGTGGCATGGGCTTAGAACTATGGGATCTGGGCCATGAGTGCAGAAGACTCAGCAAACTGTTTTCTCTACTCCGTTTGGAGAATCTTAGAACAAGGAAAATGAAACCCTTCTTGTCCCACAGTAATCTCCTACATCATGTCCCTTCAGCAAAAGCATCACATTTTCTGACCACATCTAATCTCATCTGTAATTCAAGCACTGAGGTCATAGAAGGTGAGGGGAAGGAGAAAGGAGAGCCACCAAGAAATACCAAGCGGTCACAGGGGCTTAACAGGCAACTCCGATCACTTCCTGAGTAGTCACAGAGTAAAACCAACATGAAATTTCTGCTTCTTTCATTAATTACGATACTGAAAAAGGCTATGGTTTAGATGTGGTGTGGTGTCCAGGGTTCTGGGTGCTAGACACTTGATCCTCAGGTGTGGTAGCTTGAATAAGAATGCCCCTGTATAGGCTCATATATTTGAGTGTAGATAGAGTTTTTCTGTGTCCCAGTAACTGCCCCCAAATAACCACACAGGGACTTAATATTAGTTATAAATGCTCGGTCAATAGCTCAGGCTTGTCTTTAGCTAGCTCTTATAAATTAAATTGACCCTTTTTTTTGTTTTTGTTTTTGTTTTTGGAAACAGGGTTTCTCTGCAGCTTTGGAGCTCATCCTGGAACTCGCTCTGTAGACCAGGCTGGTCTCGAACTCACAGAGATCTGCCTACCTCTGCATCCCAACTGCTGGGATGAAAGGTGTGCGTCACCACCGCCAGGCAAATTAACCCATTTCTTCTCATCCGTGCTGTCACAAAGCTTATTTACTGTGGGAAGCTGTCTTTGAGGGGCTGTAGTCTGAGCCAGCTGGCCAGTCCATGGTTCATGCCTGAGAGGGGGAGTGTGGACTAAGAAATACTAGCCAAAGACATTAAGGGGAAAAATGGAGACACAGAATAAAATCTGGAAGACAATTCAGTCACTACTGAATGCTACAAGTTTATTTTTCATCCTTCTTAAATACCTTAACCAAAAAGGGAAACATGGTATCATGTATACGGAACAAACAGACATTTCTTCCTCAATTCTCCAAGGATTCGGTAACCACACCTTACATTTAATTTCTCATTATCTGGCCTTGAGGGTCAGAAGTAACCACACCTCAGACCAAGTCTGTTGTCATTTAGATAGGACACCCAAGGCCAAGGTCAAACAATCCTACTGTGGCCACGCCTTTGACCTTTAGGTCTTATGACTTACTAAGGACAGTTTTGGACTCTCTGACCTTTAGTCAAGATGGAGTGGAGTCATCTGTATGAGCCTCTACAGTTTACCTGCCTCATCTATGAACTTCCCATGTTGCTTCTTCCACATCTGGCTTGCGACCCTCAGCCTCCACTCCTCTTCTTCCCAACATTCTCTCTTGACCCCTCCAAATCCTGCCTAGCTATCTGCCAGCCAGCTTTGTATTAACAATGAGAGCAACACATCTTCACAATGTACAGAAGGATTATTTCACAACATTTGAATGCTTGGTCTGAAGTTGGTGGAACTGCTCAGGAAGGATTAGCTGTGGCTTTGAGCTGTGTTACTGGAGTGGGCTCTGAGGTTTCAAAAGCCCACACCTTTCTGCTTCCTGGTTGTCGGTAAGGATGTAAACTCTCAGCTACTGCTCCAGTGCCATGCCCGCCTGCTGCCATGCTCCCCACTAGGATGGTCATGGTCTCACCCTATGAAACTGTAAGATCCAAATAAACTCTTCTGCAAGTTGTCTTGATCGTAGTGTTTCATCACAGCAACTGAGAAGTAACTAAAACATCAGGTAGATTCAGCAGCTGGGTATTAGGGGTGCAGCCGTAAGCAGGAAATACTGTTCTGGAGAAAGTTGTTATATAGAGCTGAGTGACCCCTGGTTGCTCTCCAGTTTCCTTTTTTGGAGACATGTCTGTTACTGCAACATGTTTCTGCCATCCCTGCCAACCATGAGGAGACACGGTCAAGTGGGGGAGTCCTTACCAGATCCTGTGAAATCCTATTAGACTTTCACAGTCTAAAACTGTGCCAAACAAATTAGCCTACCCTTCAGGTATTTTGCTACAACAGCAACTGACACACACACACACACACACACACACACACACACACACACACACAGTAGCTATACAATGCAGGAATGCAGGTGGGATTTGAGGCAAGGGGTTCATGGAGGGGTAAGCCTTTCTAGGGGTGGATGAGGACAATTTAGAACTTCTGGGAACTTTCATGGGAGGATTAGAAATGGTTTACCCTAATGGCTGAATGCCCTGGGCTTGTGCCAGTCTGCCATATAGAGGTTACCCAGCCACATCCAGGAAGAACACTGAAAGGTCTGTCTGCTCACCTGGGGAGGTGCTCACAGTCACAAAGGGAAAGAGGACAAAGTGACCTGACTTTTTTTTTCTTTAGTCTGTGAAAAACCGTGGATTCCAATTAGGCTTGAAAAGAGGAGAACTGTGGCCGGGCGGGAGGCAGAGGCAGGTGGATTTCTGTGAGTTCGAGACCAGCCGGGACTACCAAGCGAGTTCCAGGACAGCCTCCAAAGCCACTGTCTCGAAAAAACCAAAAAAAAAAAAAAAAAAAAAAAGAAAAGAAAAGAAAAGAGGAGAACTGTGGTTTAAGAGAAGGGGGAAGTCCAGGTGCAGTGGCACACGCTTGTCACCTCACGATGGTAAGAGACACGCTTGTCACCTCACAATGGTAAGAGACACGCTTGTCACCTCAGGACGGTAAGAGACATGGCCACAGTGCTGGCTGGCTGTGGTTACTCCTGGCAGCCAGCATGTCCATACATCATTCACCACTTTTAGTCACCCATCCATGCCCCCTTAAGCTGTCTTCTGGGATGAGTGTGCCATTCCCCTAATGCACAAGAACTCTGCACTAAGTGTTAAGTGTAACACAGAGACAGGAGGATGGAGCTTTTAGGACTAAATCTCATAGTGAGGCCCTGCCTCAAAAACAGGAGAGACAGAAACATAGAGAGAATGAAAGTGCAAACACCTGGTGTGGAAAATAACATAAAAGGAGCTGGCAAGATGACCCAGTGAGTAAAGGAACTTGCCGTGCAAGCCTGGTGACCTCAGTTTGATCGTTGGCACCCTCCTAAGGGTGGAAAGAGAGCCAACTCCACAAAGTTGTCCTCTGACCTCTACATGTACATTGTGACACACGCCCCTCACTGCACACACACAACAATAATAAAGATGATAATAATAAATTTACAAAAAGAAAACCATCATAAATGAAACTCAATGACAAACAATGAGAAGATAAAAATGTGTTACATTAGTACTTAGCAGAGAGTTCTTATGAGATAGTGAACAAGACCCTCATCCCAACAGGAAGATGAGGGGCTATGAACAGGTGATTTAAGAAACAGGAGTGATCATCATGCAAACATACTTGCTGTCCTGAGTAAGCAAAGCCCTGCAGGACGGCAGCTATGTCCAAGCGCATCCTTCCACGGTTTCCGTTATCTTGCTCAAATACATCCAAAAATACGAAGTGGAAATTCTAGGAACAAAGAAGTTACATGTTTTAAATGCTGACTAACCAAATGACATCTCACATCTGGGCCATTCAGTCCCACCCAGGATGTGAGTCACCCCTCTGTCCAGACCATCCTGCTGTATACACTAAACATCTGCCGTGTGATAATCGGATCAACTGTTCAAATGACCCTCACAGAGTAACCTGGTGCTCTGTGGCTGTTACTCACCTGGCAGATTTCATTAATTGAGTGGCTTTCATCACAGAGTTGTTGTGCCACATCACACTGTCACAAGAAGGCGAGGTAATACAATCAGAAATGCTCAGAGACTATGTTTGCATGTTTACTTTTATTACTATGGATGCATTAACATTAGCATGATGTTTAATTGTTCTGTTTTAATTTTATTTATTTATTTATTTATTTAGTGTGTGTGTGTGTGTGTGCACGCGCGCCCACAAATGTGGGTGTTGCCCACAAAAGCCAGAAGAAGGGCTTGGATCTCCTGGAGCTAGAGTTATAGGCTGTTGTGAGACACCCAAAGTGGGTGCAGAGACTGAAACCAAGGTCCTCTCAGAGAGCATCAAGTACTTTAAATCCACTGAGCCATCTCTCTAGCACCCTCCTCTGTTATTATCAGCTGTTGTTTTTCATTTCTTATAGTGCCTAATTCTCTTTTTTTTTTTTTTTTTTTTTTTTTTGGTTTTTCGACACAGGGTTTCTCTGTGGCTTTGGAGGCTGTCCTGGAACTCACTTGGTAGTCCAGGCTGGTCTCGAACTCACAGAGATCCGCCTGCCTCTGCCTCCCGAGTGCTGGGATTAAAGGCGTGCGCCACCAACGCCCGGCCAGTGCCTAATTCTCAATGAGGCTTTTCAAGATGCATATGTAGAGGGAACAAGCATAGCCTTTGTGGTGTCTGGTACCATCTATGGCTTCGGGCATCCGCTGGGGACCACAGAATGTGTCCTTCATGGGGAAGGGTGGAGAACTCTGTAAAACAGCAGAGACGTATATTCGGTCTTCACACTGACCAGCCTCTTAAAAATGGGTATTAACTGGGATGAGGAGTGTGCTCAGTGGGTAAAGCGCTTGCTGTGCAAGTGTGAGAACCAGAGTTCAAATCTCCAGAGCCTGTGTGAGATGCACACTTACGTCTGCACTCGCAGACACTCTCCAGCCAGCTAGCCTGGACTATCCAGACACCAGAGGTTGAACTCCGACCTGCACAGGTGTATCATGGCATTCACACAGCTTCATTCACACCCATAGATGTACACATGTATCAAAAATACACATACAAGTGCACACACACAAAAGGATAATATTCAAAGACTGCTAGGATTCCACTACCACTAAACAGCAGTCTAAATGAGTCAAAGGAGGAGATTTGATAATAGATAAATAAATTTAAAGTATATGTAGCATTTGACCCAGTCACTTTCCTACTAGTAAATTAGTTCCAAGGAAGTGACAAGACAAAGGCCCAAGGGATGTATGTAGTAGCTACTCTGTTATTGGAGTCATATCCTGGTTAGGGTTCTATTGCTGTGATGAAACACCATGAATGAAAAATCTTGAAAAGGAAAAGGTTTATTCAGCTTATGCTTCCACGGCACTGTTCATTATTGAAGGAAGTCAGGACAGGAATCCAAACAGGGCAGGAACCTGGAGACAGGAGCCGATGCAGAGGCCATGGAGGGTGCTGCTTACTGGCTTGCTCTCCATAGCTTGCTCAGCCTGCCTTCTTATAGAACCCAGGACCAGCCCAGGGATGACACTACTCACAATGGGCTGGGCCCTCCCCCATCAATCGTAAATTAAGAAAATACCCTACAGCTGGATCTTATGAAGGCATTTCCAGATAACTCTAGCTTGTGTCAAGCTGACATAAAACTATCCAGCACAGAGCACAATGAAAAATACTTAGACCTTCTCCATGGGGCATGGTCAGCCTCCTGTGCTTGCTATGATCACTCCTATAAACATGTGGGCATTCAGAAGGTCTGTGCATCTGTAGTCTGTCCCAAATCCATGCCCTGGAGTTCCTGTAAGAGTCAAATATCCAAAATGTTTCCCTCCACATCTTCAGCTCACAGGTCACTAAGATCGTGGTAATGGAGGGCTGGGTAGAGCTCTGCAGTAGAGGGCATGAGTTCCTGGGTGCCATGCCCAGACCACCCACAAGAAGAAGAGAAGGAAGGAAGGAAGGAAGGAAGGAAGGAAGGAAGGAAGGAAGGGAAGAAAGACAGAGGAGAGAGAGGAAGGAAGAAAGAAAGAGAAAGCAGGGGAGGGAGGAAGGAAAGAGGGAAGAAAAAAGAAAGGAAGGAAGGGAGGAAGGAAGGAAGGAAGGAAGGGCTGGAGAATTGCTCAGTGGTTAAGAGCACTGGTTGCTCTTCTAAAGGACATGGGTTCAATTCCCAGCACCCACATGGCAGGCAGCTCACAGCTGTCTGTAACTCCAGTCCCGGGGCACTTGACACTCTCACACATACATACATGCAGGCAAAATACCAATGCACACAAAGTGTTTTAAAAAAGAAAGAAAGGAAATGAAGAAGAAAGGAAGGATTGCAGTGGCCCCTTATTACAAAATGCAGTAGACACTGTCCACAGCCTCTAAGGAGCATTTCTAAAAGAAAATTTATGACATTCACTTATTTAGTGAGAGAGAGAGAGACAGAGAGAGAGAGAGAGACAGACAGACATGTGAAGGTTGGAGGAAAAACTTGCAAATTCAGGTCAGGCTTGGTGGTAAGCGCCCACGGAGCCATCTCACAGGCTCTCTGAGAAGCTTTCCACACTTGTTCATATCCTCCTTGTCCTTTAACCGCAGCGCTATGATTCTTTGTCTCCAGTCTGTTCTTCCTCTGGACTGGCTCCTTCTTCTTACTGTGGACGCTGTCTGAGAGCTTGTCCCAAGTTTTCTTCTCACTCTCCAATTTCCTTGTCTGGCCCTCTGCCCCACAGTCTCTGCCCAGAATTCTCTCTCCAGCTGTTGTTGCCTGGACAGCTCTACCGAGCACCACATGCCCTTCGAATACTAAAACCTAAACCATAGTGTCCTCCCTGCCTGCTCCAGCCCACTTCCTTCTGGCCAAGTCGACTATCTAAAGCAGAAGCCACCGTTGCTTTCTCCATGCTTCTGAAGCATCCAGCAACTGTCACTCTACATCCAAGGTATCCTTTGTGGCGAGCTTATGCATGTCCCTTTGTGCCAGAAAACCCAGAATGAAGCACAAATCCTTGCCTGCGGTTTCCATGACTACGGCCTCGTTTGACTTCTTTATTAAGGCTTGCTCTCTTCTTACCAAACAAGCCATCCTAGAAACAGCAGAGTGCTTGCCTCATTTGCATGTGGCCCAGGGTTCAGTCCCCAATATTATATAAACAAAGATGGTGGCGTATGCCTATAGTCCCAGTACTTGCAGTTGGAGACGGGAGGATCAGGAGTTTATGAGACTGTGTCTCAGATGAATGAGGGGTTGGAAATGGCTCAGTGGGTAAAGTTCTGGCTGCACAAAAGTGAGGATCAGAGTTTGGATCCCTAGCATTCATACAAAGGACAAGTGGGCATGGTGGCCTGCCTGTAACTCCAGTGCTTAGAAGGCAGAGATAGGGACTAAGCTGCCTAGCTAGCCTAGGTTTGTCAACTAGCTCTGGTTCAAATGAGAGACCCTGCCTCAATGAAGAGGAGGAGAGAGAGCAATCAAGGAGACTCCCGGCATCAGCCTCCAACATTCACAGGCGTGTGCACACATGTAGACCAAGTATACACACACACACACACACACACACACACACACATATACTAGCAAGCATATGTATGTGCATGCACACCAAGCACATAAACACAGCAAAAAAAGTCTAAAAAACAAAAAGAGCCAGGTGTTGGTGGCACACTCCTTTAATCCTAGCACTCGGGAGGCAGAGGCAGGCAGATCTCTGTGAGTTCGAGGCCGGCCTGAGCTACAGAGTGAGTTCCAGGACAGCCTCCAAAGCAATAAAGAGAAACCCTTTTTAAAAAAAAAGAGTGCTGGAGAGATGGCTCAGCGGTTCAGAGCTCTTTGCTTTTGCAGAGAACCCAAGTTCAGTTCCCAGCACTCTCATGGTGGCTCGCAACCATCTGTAACTCCAGTTGCAGGGGATCTGACGCCCTCCTTGAACACTGCATGAACATTGTGCACAGACTCCCATGCAGGCAAAACACTAACATACATAAAATAAAAGTAGCCGGGCGTTGGTGGCACACGCCTTTAATCCCAGCACTCGGGAGGCAGAGGCAGGCGGATCTCTGTGAGTTCCAGACCAGCCTGGACTACCAAGCGAGTTCCAGGACAGCCTCCAAAGCCACAGAGAAACCCTGTCTCGAAAAACCAAAAATAAATAAATAAATAAATAAATAAATAAATAAAATAAAAGTAAATCTTAAAGAAAACAATGCTGGGTGACCCTGGAAAAGCCAATTTTCTAGAAACCTCTGTAGAGGAGAGAGACAAAGATTGAGATGGACAGAAAGAGGTCACTCCCTAACAGAAATCCTAGGCCATTTTTTGGAACAAGTGAACAAACTGGAACCCATCAGTCATCAGGGCTCCTAACTCTTTTCTGATCTCTGGAGATGGTTCCAAGGCTTGGGGAGGGGTCCAATGTTGGAGATGACACCACCCTCCAGACCTACTCATTTTGAAGTGTGAAGAGACACTGCCAGGGAAATGGAGAGCCTTCACTATAGTCTCGGGTCTGAGAAACACAGCAATTGTGTGGTCTTTGGGCTTCCCATCCCACCGTCTCCAAAGAAATTTAAGCATCCTGATCATAGTCAAGAGCAGGACAGTCGGGTGTCGGTGGCGCACGCCTTTAATGCCAGCACTCACGAGGCAGAGGCAGGCGGATCTCGGTGAGTCAGAGGTCAGCCTGGTCTACAGAGCGAGTTCCAGGACAGCCTCCAAAACAATACAGAGAAACCCTGTCTCGAAACCCCCCCCCCCACACACACACAAAAAGAGCAGGAGAGTTGAGCTCATTCGTGTTGCTCACTTACTTGTTACTGGTTCTCAGCCAGCTTCTTCTCTCTTTTTTTTTGTTTTTTGGAGACAGGGTTTCTCTGTGGCTTTGGAGGCTGTCCTGGAACTCGCTCTGTAGACCAGGCTGGCCTCGAACTCACAGAGATCCGCCTGCCTCTGCAGGCCAACCTGATCTACATAATTCCTCATTAAGACTCTCCATGCTACTCTAGGCTGTGTCAAGTTGACAACTAACCAGCAGCCATCTGAGGTGGATTTGAAAGACCGCCCCTATAGCAATCATGAACCTCTTAAGTCTAAGGACAGAGTATGAACTTCCTGGCTGGAGGTCCAGACCTTCAGACATCCCCAGAGAGAAGGCCTAGTGGCAAAGCCTTGGCAAGCCCTGGAGCTTTCCAGGGTGGGTGCAGACCTGGCTTTTCTCCAGGACCCTTTGGAACAGTGCTGAGTCACAGGAAGAGACTAAGGACTTTTTGAACCCCTGAGAGCAAAACCACCTGGTCCAAGGGTCAGTGAGCCAGAACCAACTTGACAGAACCTGTCTTATCCACTCCCGGTGTCTGGGCTTGGGAGGAGCAGGAACCCATTGCTAAAATGCTGGTAAGTTCAAAAATGTAGTTCTGGGGCCCTAGACAGCTCTGGTTGAGAACAGCATTGAGGTATTCAGATCTCAGGCTTTGCTGGGATCGCTAAGGGGGGTCAGAGAGGGGGTAATGTGGCTATCTTGGGTACAGCGTGAGTTTTAGACTTCCCCTTCTTCTGGGGATCCATGGAATCTTGTTAAAATTCAGGAATGGCCTTCCTGCTGTTTCCTGCCAGGTCAACCACAGCCCTCTGAAGACTCTTTACACAGAAGACTGAATGGGCTTCCCCATTTCACTAGCTGTGTGGTTCAGAAAGGCCATTCTCTGCGTTGCAGAATGAATAGAGCTGAAGAGCGGTGTCATCTCCAACTCTGCACCCTTCCCCATGTTCAGAATCAACCCAGGAGATCAGAAAGGAGCTAGGCACCATGATGATTAGTGTGTATCAGTTGTGTGAACTAAAAAAACAAACAAACAAAATCCCAAAAAACTCTGCCTAGGATTTCTGTTAGTAAGTGGGACGGTCCATGCCTGGCTCTGGCTCTGTGTGCTCTCAATGGGCTTCTGGAGAAATGAGTATTGTTTTAGGAACAGATGAGATTTGGGTCTCCCCCAGCCTTTCTTTCTTAGAGCCACAGAATGAATATGGCCCATGTGGGGGTCCTCTCTCATTCTCCCTGGCCATCTGGTGATTACACGTAAGAGTTTAAGAGACAGTTACTACAGAGAGCCTCATAGGCAATATGCTTGCTAACCCCCAAAAGCTATTCCCACTCCTCTTTGGGGAGGCTTTGGTGTCCACTGACGGAGAGCTATGACCTCTGAGTCATCCCCAGACACATCTCTAGGAAGGCCTGAGTTGGTGATCTTTCTTTTTTCTTTTTTTTTCTTTCTTTCTTTCTTTCTTTTTTTGTGAGTGTGTGTTTTGTTTTCTTTTTTCGAGACAGGGTTTTTCTGTATTGTTTTGGAGGCTGTCCTGGAACTGGCTGTAGACCAGGCTGGCCTTGAACTCACAAAGATCCGTCTGCCTCTGCCTCCCAAGTGCTGGAATTAAAGGCATGCACCACCAATGCCCAGTGATATTTCTTTCATTCATGTTCTTTCATGTGTCTGTGAGTTATGCACTGTGATTAGTATTAGAGGTAACTGCTAATGTCCTGAAACAGGCTCAAACATATGTCCCAAAGTTCCTCTGTTAATACAGACTAGTGGAGGGACATCAGGACCTTGTATATGTTTTTCAGAGACTTCCAGAAGTGCGGGAAAACCAAACATGGTGGCACCTGACTGTCATCACAGTATTTGGGAGGCAGAGGCAGGAGGACCATGAGTTTGAAACCAGGCAATACAACATAGGGAGAACCTGTCTGAAAGGGAATGGGAGGGGTGGGGAGGGGAGGAATGGGAGGGGACAAAAGGAGAAAGAAAGAACTGAAGGAAAGAGGTGGGAACTCACTCTAGATCAGGCTGGCTTAGAACTCAAGAGATCTGCCTGCCTCTAACTTCTGAGCATTGGTATTAAAGGCATGTACCATCACACCCACAGAACTTTAATTCTTTTTTGTTTTTTGGTTTTTTGTTTTGTTTTGTTTTGTTTTTGTTTTTGGTTTTGGTTTTGGTTTTTACGAGACAGGGTTTCTCTGTATTGTTTTGGAGGCTATCGAGAACTTTAATTCTTAAGCAAGACTCCCCAAGCCCCAATATTTCCAAACTGAACATATTAGAATCCTAATTTGAGATTATAAGAGATCAAGCCACGATCTAAGGGTCACACAGATGAATGACAAGGATATCTTGGGTCCCAACCTGTCTGACTGGAGATTCTTGCCTCAGAGTCCTTGAAACACTCAGAAACTCTGCCACTTGACTTCTCTAGGGGCTTGGGGAGGATGGAGTGTAACTGATCCTTGGTAAGGAGTTTCCTTTTGGACTGACCCAGATGCTTAGGAACTACACAGAGGTTACATAACAACATGGATCCACCCAGAACCTCTGAGTTGTACGTTTTTCATCCCTGGCCTTTATGTAACAGGCATTTATATCTTGAATTAAAGAAGTGAGAAACTCAAGTCCTTCTCTTTTACCAGGCAGGCACCATGGCTGCTCTGCCCTTCTCTGCCAAGTTCCCAAGGCTGAGGCCGTTGCTAAGACAACCCAGGCTTTGGATATCTAGGACAAGAACCTTCCTGTTAATTTCCCCCCAATAATCTATCTCTGGAAATTGTTGACAAGTGAGTCATAACCCTCAGGCTCCGATTTGTGGGGCCCAGTTTGTATTGCTGTCAGAGGGGTATGACTCTCTTTGAAAAGTTTATTTCAAAATATAATATTCACTCACTTGGGCTAATGTGACTGAATTCCATGAATTTTATTCAGTGAACATTAGAAAATCAAATTCCACTGTTGGTACAGACAGACAGAGGACTGGACAGGGGTCTGCTAACAGATCTTGGTTCTTGCTTTAGAGAATCATCCCAGGACTTTCAGAGGACTTTCAAGCTTTGGCCAAGGTAGAGAGCAGGTGAGGTAACTCATGTTGACTTGAGACAAAGGGACATAGGCTATCTGCCAGGCTCTCATATCTGGCTGTCACCTCTCACTCCATTGGGTTCTTTGAGGAGACATAAATGGGCTGGAGAGATGGCTTGGTCGGTGAAGTGATTCCCAAACAAGCATGAAGATCTGAGTCTGACCCCAGTATCTCTGAGAGCCAGGTGTGGTGTGTAAGTGGAGTCTCAGTGCTGGGGAGGTGCAGACTGGGTCTTGCTGGCTGGCCAGTCTAGATGACTCTTTAAATCTTCAAGCTCCAGGCTCAGTGAGAAACACTGTCTCGAAAAATAGGCATGTTGAGAGATGGCTCAGTAATTAGATGTGCTTGCAGCACAAGCCTGATGACCCAGTTCAATTCCCCAGATCCCACAGTGGAAGGAGGGCACTGACCCCCAAGAGGTGTCCTTTAACTTCCACATATACACTGTGGCAGGTGCATGCCTGTGCACATATCACATGCTAGTAAATACATATGTGAATTAAAAAGTAAGGTGGGAGTGATGGAGGAAGACACTTGCTGTTGACCTCAGGCATGTACATGTGTGGACACTTGCACACATCCACAAGAGCATATGCATCCATCACATTCACATGTGCACACACAAGAAAAAGAAATGTATGAGGAGCTGGGAAATGAGGATGAGTATCCTTCATTCTGGGAGAAACGTCCTCATTGCCAAGGTGACACCACAACCTAGAGAGCAGTGCCAGCATCCTCTTTGAAAAAGGAAAGTGAGAGTAAGTCTCCTTTCAGAAGGGTGGTTGGATGTGATTAAATGCAGGTGTCACTCAGCCACTCAGTACTTGTCCACCAGGCACAAGGCCATGGGTTTGGCTCCCAGAACACCAGACTCTTATGCAAATTCTCAATCTGATTGTGGGGTGCTTCTGTGGGACCTCAGAGAAGTCTATTTATTTGTTTTCCTTGTGTGACTGTTTTACCCGCATGTGTGCCTGGTACTCATTAAGGTCAGAAGAGGACACCAGGTCCCCGGGAACTGGAGTTATGGATGGTTGTGAGCCTCCACGTCAGTGTTGGGAACTGAACCTGGGTCCTCTGCAAGAACAATCTGTGCACTTAACTGCCAAACCATCTCTCCAGCCCCTAGATGAAGATTTTTGATGAACTAATGAATCACTTTGGGCAATAATGCTCCAGGTAAAAGTGAGCTGTTCATTTTCTGTCCTCCACCTGCTCTCTAGCCCTGTTGTTAGCTGAAGGATTTTCCTCAATCTTATCTTCCTTGTGTTGACATAAGGAGGTAAGAATTCTTTTATGAAATTGCTTGACTAACATGCATGTTGTGATAGAGATCACAGCTTTCAAAACAAGTTTTTAAAATGCCTGTAAAAGCCATAAGGCCTTATGATAGCATTTACATAAAGAGTATTCACATACACACACATACAGAGAGAGAGAGAGGAGAGAGAGAGAGAGAGAGAGAGAGAGAGAGAGAGAGAGAGAGCTCACCACAAATACATGCTGTGGTTGATTGAAGAAAGCAAAACAACACCAGGTGCTAGCAACATGCCTCAGCAGGTAAACACATTTTCTGTGTCCTCAGACCTAGTTCAATCTCTACATCCTACACAAAGGTACAAAGAAACGGTTGATTCCATAAAAGTTGTACTCTGACTTCCACATGTGTACTATGGCACATTGCCTACACACACACATCATGCACACACACACACACACACACACACAACAATAATAATAAACAAACTAAAAATTATCTTAATTTACGTATGCATGGGCATCACATGCATACAGTGTCCATAAAGGCCAGAAAAGGGTGTTGGAGCTCCTGGAATTGGAGTTACAGATGTTTGTGAGCCACCATGTGGGTGCTGGGAATTGAACTCATATCCTCTGGAAAAGCAACCAGTGCTCCAGCCCAAACTAGAACCATCTTAAATTCTACAGATTCCTTCTCACTTCTGTAAGTTTCCTACCCCCTTTTACAGGTTCCTGTACAACTCTCCACTGAAACGTACAATCTATTTTTTGGCCGCCTAAGCCTGAATTGGTCACATGATTTGCTTTGAGCAAAGGTGTCTTAGCAATGATGATGAAAGCAGAGGCACGGGATTGCTGGTGCATTGGAATGCAGCCTTTCTGAGTGCCAGCTGCTCCTCTACCACCACCTCAGACGGGGGCACCTTCTGGGAGATGTGTGACAGTCACCCCACTCCAAACATGTGAGGGTTCCATAGTCCAACTAGTTTCAGACATGTGGTCAGGCTGCCCTAGACCACCCAGTCTCCACTGAACAAGCCCAGACAAGAATTGCTAAAGTGTCCCAACTGGTCTTGAGCAAACCAAAATGTGTGTTGCTATCAGCCATTATGTCTTGCAAAAGTCAACACACACACACACACAGAGAGAGAGAGAGAGAGAGAGAGAGAGAGAGAGAGAGAGAGAGAGAGAGAGAGAGAGAGAGAGAATAGAGAGAATATTTCTGCAAAGATTTTGTTAATGGTCTACATGGTTTGTCTGAAGGTAGGAATTTTAGGCCAATAGCAAGAATTAAGGATTTTTCCCCCACTGTATTTCTTGGTGTGTGCACACGCATGTGTATGTGTGTGTGTGTGTGTGTGTGTGTGTGTGTGTGTGTGTGTGTGTGTGTGTGTGTTTAAAACAAGAGCTCATGTAGCCCAGGCTGGCCTCTATAGCTCACCACAAAGGATAACCATGGACTCCTGATCTTCTCGCTTTTACCTCCCAAGTGCCAAGACTGTAGGTGGGAGCCTCCATGCCTAGCCTTTCTGTTCCTCTTAAACCATATAAATAATTCTACTCTAAAAACAAAAAAAATCAAAGTTAAAATAATTAGTGAATGTTATAAAACATGACTTAGTTCATAAATCACACTTGTTAAAATTCAGAAAACAACTGCAACATGAATCCATTGGCTTCTCATTCAGTTCCTTTTCTCAGAATGACAGAGGACCTGTGTCGTCTAAGACAATGAAAGCTCAGTGTAGTGTTTAGTGTTTGAGACAGCGGCCCAGTCTCTGGTCCACTGACTGTGACTGATGAAAGTGCTGGGAGTTCACAAACCTGTAAGATCCGAGGCATTGATGCCCTCACTTCCTGCTGGGGTCTGCCTGGAGTTCTTGTTCGTTTGTTGTGGTCTACTGCAACACTCAGGTCCGTGTGTCTGCCCTCGTGCCCCCCCCCCTTTGATAAAGTCTGAGTGGACTTAGAAGAAAGAAAGAGGTTGAGCAATCTGGTTGTGGGGGAGGTGGGGGTGGAGGGGACCTCAACAGCAATTGGTTTCAGGAACCTGCATGTTCCTTCCCTTCTTTCTGCTTCTTGAGGTTGCTCATTCCCTCTCCCTGCTGACCAGCTTCTGGGGCATGGATCGCTGAAGAATTGCTGAGCCTTTGCATTCCCAGCTCGCTTCTAATCCCTTTGGACCATGACCTCTGGCCGCCCAAGAAGGGGCTCTAACTGGTGCTGCCTTCCTCAAGACATCCCGCTGTGGCCCCGACAGCTGGCCAGGTAGACATCCACCCACAAGGAAGAAAACTGATTCTCACGGGCCCCTGGTCTCCACTCATTGCTGCAGCGTGTGCTTTATACACACAAATAACATTTTTAAGAAGGTGACTTTTGGGACCTCAGCCCTTCCTCGCCCTCCTTTCCTGTTTACCAGCCTCCCCCACCACATGCCTCCTGCCGTGACCTGCCTTACCACAGCAGCCACGGCAACAGGGCCAAACACCAGACACTGAACCGCCTGAAGCTGTGAGCCGAAGCAAACCTTCCTTTTCACCGGATTGCCTCCAGCGTTTTGTCCTAGGGATGGAAAGCTAAGTATTGCAGTTCCAGACTATGAAAGAATGGAAGAGACTTTAGACAAGATCTATTCATCCCCAAGTCCCAGACTATGAACTATATGTGTTCTGCGCAACTAATAGACAAATTGGGGAAATAAAAACAAGAGAAAGCAGGCTGGCAAGGTGGCTCATCGGGCAATGGCACTTTCTGCCAAGCCTGGTGACCTTTCGTTGGATCCCTAGGTTCCATGGTGATGGAAGGAGGGAACTGATTCCCCAAGTTACCTTCCAACGTCATAGAATACCTACCCACATAGTAAGTAAATAAAATGTAACTTAAAATTTTTTAAAGAAAAAAATTTCCTTGAGGTTAAGGCATTAAATTTAAGTATCTGCCTTTCATTTTAAAATCTAAAAGAGTTTTATGATAAATTGGTGATAGGCAGTACAGTACTTAGTATGTTTGACAAAATGAAGAGGTGGCCATGCTACATTGATTTCCGTTTCTTGATTCTCCATGAGAAACCTCAGTCTAGCTTAACTCCTCATTTTGTGTATGTACATGAACACGAACATTCATTCATACGTGGGGTACATGTGTGTGGAAAGTCAGAGGCTAGCCTTGGTTGTCTTCCTCAGTTGATTGCTACCTTATTTTTTAAGATGGAGTCTCAGGTACTTCTGCCCCCATGCCTGGATCCTATTTTTTTGGGGGGGTTCTGAGACGGGGGTCTTACTGTTTGGCTCTGGAGTTCCCTCTACAGACCAGGTTGGCCTCGAGCTCACAGAGATCCACATGACTCTGCCTCCCAAGTCTGGAATTAAAGATGTGTTCCACAACTGCCTGGCTTCATAGCTGGCTCTTTATGTGGGGTCTGTGACCTGAACCTTGACCCTCTTATTTTTGCAGGAAGTGCTCTTACCCACTGAATCATCTCTCTAGGCCCACCAGTTTACATGTCTGTGGTGTGGTCTCCTTTTCTCTCCTTTTCTGTCCTTCACAGAACAGGATGGTTCTGGTTTTCTTTTCTTGAGACAGTTTCAGTATCCAACAAAGTCAAGCTTGATTTTACACTCATGATCCTCCTGCCTCAGGTTCATGAGGGCTAGGATTATAGATGTGTACCACCGTGGCCATCTTGAAGTTTAAATTTTAATAAAGTTCAATTCTGTCAAATGTTTTGTGACTCAATATCATTGGTTTTATATCAAAAAGATCAGCTTGCTTGTTGGTAGTGGTGGCGCATGCCTTTAATACAAGCACTCAGGAGGCAGAGGCAGGCAGATCTCTGTGAGTTCAAGGCCAGCCTGGTCGACAGAGTGAGTTATAAGATAGCCAGGGCTACATAAAGAAACCCTCTCCATAAAACAAAACAAACAGGTCAACCTGTTCCTGTGTTACCTTCCAGAAGTCCTAGAGTTTAGTGTTTTATATGTTTGTCTTTAATCCATTTTGATTCAATTGTTCTAAAAGAATTAAGAGCATGACCTCACTTTTTTTCCATATGGAAGTCTGGTTTTTGTGTCACCATTTGTTGAAAAGATTAGCCTTCCTCTGTTCTGCTGTCTGGGCTCTTCTGTAGGAGACTAGATGACCAAGTTTGGGTGTGTGTATTCTGGGGCTCTGTATTCTCTTCCACTGACCTATTTGTATTTTTTCTTCAACACCACAGTCTTGACTTCTACAACTTCATTGGAAGCTTGAAGTCAAGTTATTATTTTTTGTTTGTAGAAAAACAGAGATATTTTCAAAACCAGAAAATATATATGAGCCAAATTATAAAAAAAATACACGTATATGAGTCACTCAGAAATAACTGCTTTGATTAGACTCAAGTCTGCTCTTGAGGATCTCTGTGTGTCTCTGGGAGTCAGCAGAGAAGGTAACTAATGCATAGCAGTGTTTGCAAGACAGAGAGTTCAGTGGTGTAGAAGCCTGAGAGTCAAGGAGAAGCAGGATTGTGGAGGGGTGAGACAAGCTGGAAGGCTGCATGGATCAGAAGATGAAAAATGAGGGTGCTGAAAATGCTTCCACAAGAGCACAGAAATCAGAGAGACCTTGGCAGCTTTGGGGATCTGAAAGATGTGCCAGAAGTCTGGAGTGCGGGAAGAGGAAGGGAAACTGCTGGGCAAGAAGAGTCAGTGGAGGGTGAGCCCAGCTGGTAGGGCACTTACCCTGCTTGCACACAGCCCTTGGTTCAATTCCCTGCATCTCCAGCTGGTAGGGCACTTACCCAGCTTGCACACAGCCCTTGGTTCAATTCTCTGCATCTCCACCTGGTAGGGCACTTACCCTGCTTGCACACAGCCCTTGGTTCAATTCTCTGCATCTCCAGCTGGTAGGGCACTTACCCAGCTTGCACACAACCCTTGGTTCAATCCCTGCATCTCACAAACCAGTTGTGTCTCCCAGCACTCAGGAGGTAAAGGCAGGAGGATCAGAAGTTCAAAGACAGCCTCAGTTACAGATCACGTTTGAGGCCAGCAGGGGTTGTGAGGGGATGAAATCTGGGATAAATGGGACTCTGTGACGAGAAAGGGAGGGAGGATGACTAGGAGGAGGAAGGAGTGTTGGCACATGAGGAAGGGGGCGAACTAACTATTCTAAGGAATTAGGCTTTAGCTTAGGCTGCTGAGAAAACAAGAGATTGTTAAGCTACACAACACACCCATTCATTTAGCAAGTATTTACTGAGTATCTGTTGTACATCAGGCACTGTTCCACACGCTGGAAGTACAGCTGGTACTAGAGAGAAAAACTTCTGGGTCCCATGGTTCTCAGATTTTATGCTGTAAATTTTATTTTCTTTGGCAACACTGGGCATTGAACTCAGGGCTTCGCACTCTGCCACTTTGTTTGCATCTTAGCTGGTGACAGATTCAAAGGTGATGAAGAAAGAAAAACAGGGTTAGAAAGTGACAGAGAACTGGAAGGATGAGCTGCATAGAGAGACAGGTTGTGGGCATTGTGAGAAAGTTGGAAGCCAAGATACAGTTCATCTTTCCCAGGTGAACGTGCAGTTTTGCTATGGTAAGCACAGCTAAGAAACAACAGAGGTTGGTATTTATAAAGCTGCCCTTAAATGGAAGTACACAGGGCTGCTGGTCCCACTTGGTGATGTAAGCCTGAGTTTTAAGAAGCTGTGAGCTATGTAGCCAGGATTTGGCTTCCTTCTTCATTCTGGCAGGACTTTTCTTGTCCCGAGGGATCAGGGAGCAGGGTGGAAGCCAAGTTAAATGGGCGGCTGGGCTTGGGTCAGGTCACACCCCACAAGTCTTGTATCACTGGCTGTATCAGTTAGGAACCCAGAGTGAGATCCCATGCATCTGATGGATCATGTACATTATCGCCTTGTCAACCTCCAGTCCAATCTATAACACCAGCAAGAAGGAGCCAATGGCCTCTCTGAAACAAGGGTATTTATTTAAGCTGATAGCCAATGGTAAGAAGGAACCAGCGTAAAGATAAGATGGGAAGCGGGATGCACCCGGCATGTGAAGCAGAGAGAGACAGCACGGCTGGGAGGTGCAGTCAGCAGGAGAGCTGCTGACGTGAGGTGCAGCGGGCAAACCGTGTTCAGGGCACTCAGGATCTTAAAGGTCTCAGTGAGGTGTTTTTAGTTCCACTCAGAAGCTGCTGAAGGTCAGCAATATGATGACTGCAGGTTGTTCCCAGATGCTTGTCAGGCTCAGGGCATTCCCTTCTGCTCCTGTGTTGTGGGAGTTCTCAGGATGAAGTTGCCAATTGCCTTTCCTGAATGAATTATGAAATAGTCACATGGTATTTCTCCTTTGTCACATTAATGTATTGAATAACCACTGATTGATTTTCAACTTCATGTTCTTGACATACAGTCTACTTCTCCATATCTTTTTATTTTGTGTGGGTGTGCGCATGTATGTGGGAGCCAGAGGTTTATTTTAGATGTCTCCCTCTATCATTGCACCAACTTATTAAAAACGAAACAGAAGTGTATTTATTTATTTGTTTTGTGTGGGGGCGTGGGGTACACGTGTACCATGATATGTGTGTGGACCTCACAGGGCAATTGTGGGAGTCAGTTTTCTACCCACACCGTGCGGGTCTTGGAGATCAGACTCAGGTTTCAGGCTTGGCTACAAAATGTCCTTATTATCTAAGCCATCTCACTGACTGGGAACCTATTTCTCAGCTGAATGTTGATGAAAACACAACATGTCAAGGTCTGTGGGACGCTAAAGCTGATATTAAAGCAGATATTTATAGCTTTAGGTGTTTGTTTTAGAAAAACACATTTAAAATTAGTGAAATATAAAATACAAGTAGCAGCCAGGCATTGGTGGCGCACGCCTTTAATCCCAGCACTTGGGAGGCAGAGGCAGGCGGATCTCTGTGAGTTTGAGGCCAGCCTGGTCTACAGAGCTAGTTCCAGGACAGTCTCCAAAAACAATACAGAGAAACCCTGTCTCGAAAAACCAAAAAATAAAATAAAATAAAATACAAGTAACAAGCTGGGTGTGGCTGCACGTGTCTGTAAATAGAGATATTTGGAAAACTGAGGCAGGAAGGTCTCAAGTTCAAAAACAACCTAAGCTGTACAGTGAGACTCTGTCTATTAAAAAAAAAATGAAGCCAGGAGATAGTGGTGCATGCCTTTAATCCCAGCACTAGGGAGGCAGAGTCAGATCGGTCTCTGTGAGTTCAAGGCCAGCCTGGTCTACATCACAAGTACCAGAGCAGGCACCAAGGCTACAGAGAAACCCTGTCTTGAAAAACCAAACCAAAAAAAAAAAAAAAACCCAAAAGCAAATCAAAGAGATGAAAAGAGGTAGGGAGAGTGGACACAGCTCAGGGTCAAGAACTCGCCCACTACGCCAGGGGTCTGGCTCTCCAGTGCCTGGTATCTCCATCTAAATCCCCCAGACAGAACAAGAAAAACAACAACTATGATTTGTTTTTCTGATATTCTAATAGAGAATTATATTCCTATGTTTATAAACGTATTAATCTCTAGTTTTGTTTTCTCACATTTCTGTCAGCTTTGAATCATAATTTTGCTAGATTTAAAAAAAAACATTTCCTTTTGTTTTGTTTTTTGAGATAGGGTTTCTCTGTGTTGCCCTGGCTGTACTGGAACTCTATAGGCCTGATCGACCGTGAACTCAGGAATCTGCCTGCCTGTCCTCTACCTCTTAAGTACCAGGATTAAAGGCATGCACCACCACACCTGGCTGGTGCTTGGGTTTTTAACTTCTTCTAAAATACTCTAAGTTGATGAATTGACTGGTGATGTTATTTAAATGAGCCCACTAAGTCTGTAAGTTCTGTAGTGGGGCCTCTTTGTTTCTAACTTTTTTTTGGGAGCTTCACCCCAAGCCTGTGTAAACATTTAGCATTGACTGAAGACTTAAGAACTCCACGGAGCTGCCTCTCTGTGCGTTCTCCTTTCTCACACCCTGACCCACAAGTCCCAGATGCCCAAGCCTTGTGTCAGTCAATGCAGGCTCTTCTCAGATTTCCCGTCACTGCAGCAACAGAAGGTGCATTCAGGAGGAAGCCAGGGAGACAGTAGGACTCACTTGGCTTCCTTTCCACCGAGATTCGGAGTTTCTCAATGTTCACAAACAATTTCCATCAATAGTTTCATTTACTTGGTCCACTTTTGTGGGAACACCAGACCTTGAGCAGAGACCCACTTCCCCTTCTGCCTGGGAGTAGGCAGCTGTAAGACAATGTTTACTAAAAACATGTTTACTAAAAACAATACAATGCCCGGGGGCAATAAGTTCCTGGAAAAGGCCTGCCCACAGAAACCGCCCTGACCTCGACCTTGTCCAAAGACTAATCGCCTCTTCTGACACGCCCAGATCAGTTTTTGGTGTCAGGGCAGAACCAGCCAGGGTAGAGGAAAGAGCAGAAGCTTCTCTGGTGGGAGCTTTTCTTAGGAAGTTTTCTTGAACCTTTTTGGGGCCTGCTTAAAGTTTTCTTTACATCGTTGAACAAGTCTCTGTGTTGTCAATCCCCGACACCCTCCGCACGTTCTCGGACACAGGCTGCGCGGCAGACGCGACACACTTTGACTGTGGTTTATGGTAGGAGGGTGGTCAGCATGGTGAGCTTCAAATGCTATGTTTATGTAACTTGTGTCTGATCTGAAGGACACTTAGATTGTTCTGGATGCTGGCAGAGCATGTAGC